CCGCTGGGGCTCCCTCTGGTCGCGACGCCCGGACGTCCAGCGGGCCGCCGTCTCCGACTGCTATTTGGCGCGCACGGCGGGGCGGACCGGGGGCGGCGGGGGCGGCGGCCCGCGAGGTGGGGCCGCGTCCCGCGGAGGCAGCGGGGGCGGGGGCACCTCGCCGACCAGCGTCACCTGCAACACAACGTGCACGCACACGCCGGCTCAGTCGCGGCGCGCAGAGCACCACCCGGGCGCGAGTCCAGATCTGACGGCCTTCGCCCTGCGGGATGGGAGGATGATCCAGATCTGGACTAGCGGGTGCCGAGCTCACTGCCCCGTGGATCAGTAGTAGTGTGAGTGTGTTAGTGGGTGAGAAGACCGCCTCCCTGCCGAGGAGTCAATCAGCACAAGTGTGAGACGTGCATGTCGGCCCCCGCGGGGGCGCTGCGTGCGTGCTCGCCGGAATGCGTTACCAGCGTCTCCTGCGCAATGTTTCGGAACAACACGGTCCAAACGAAAGAAATGCAGTAATAAGAGTGTGGGTGTAAACGAGGTGGAAGAGAGAGTCAGGAAAAAAACAAGTAGAGATAGACCAGAAAAAATAGAAAAGAGAGAGAGAGAGGAAAGTGGCATGCAGGTTGTACCGTCGTGGCGCGGCGCGTGGGTTGCAGGTTGGGCTTTTTAAGCCTTACTGGCCTCGGCCAGCTGAGCCAGAGGCCTCGCCAGAGGCTGGGCGCGGGCCTCGGCCAGAGGGTAGGCCTGCCGCACCTGCGCTCCAGCTGGGGGACGCCTGCTCTGCAACAGGCCACCAGCGGCGCGTACAGCTGAGGTTCACTGCGGGGGAACGACACGGCGCGGGCAGACGCGGGGCGGGGCGCGGCGGGCGGTGAAGGTTCGGTGAAGTGACGCGGGAAACGACGACGGGACGGCTGTTGGCATCGAGTCAAAGGCCGCTGTGGCCATAGCCCATCGCGCGGACGTCTACCTCCCTCAGTCCGCGTCCATACCTCCGGCCCGGCTGCGACCATCGCGACGGCCTCCTTTTGGGCAGCGGCTTGGCTCGACGCGATGGGTCGGGCGGGCCCATTGCAACCGCGCGGAACCCGTTCTTACTTTTATGACGAAGTCATGTGAGAGGCGGTGGAGTATTTACTGTTGCTGTTGTTGTTTGTTAGCCAGGCGTCGTTGGGTGAGTCAGGCGGAGGAGGGGCGACCTTCTGAACTGGGTTAGTACGAAACGGGAAGGAGTGCAGATGCACACACATCAGCAGCTACACACACGCACACAGTTAATGGTGTTAAACCGGCACAGCACACCTCGGCCTAGCTACTTTTTTGTGCTGCTCACCCTTCTCGCGGAGCGCTAGCTAGCGCGGGCAAGCGTCACCTGCAACAACACCTCGTCAGTACCTTTGTGAGCCAGGGCGCGCTCCCGGCGCTTAGGGCTGGAAATTTCCGAAACTTTTCGGAAAATTTCCGGAAATTTCAGGGGTTTGGGAATTATTTTTTTTCGTTTTTACTAGAAATTTTCTGTTTTTTTTTTTCTGGAAACTTTCCGGAAACTTTCCGCAAACTTGCCAGGGCTTCCAAACCTAAGACTCGCGCATGCTGCGCATGCTCTCACCTGGAGGCGGGGCACGCTGAGCGGCCTGAGGAGGGACTTGACGACGGGGGGCATGGCGGGCACGGGCAGGGCCGGCGTGGAGGCGCACAGCCCCGCGCCCGTCAGCTGCGTGACGAGCGAGAAGGCGGCCCCGGAGGCGGGCGCGGACGGCGAGGAGGACGGCGCCATCGGCAGGTCGGTGGCGGTGCCGGAGCGGAAGGCGCGCCGCACCCGCGACTTGATGGAGCGCGAGGGCGGCGGCTGCGGCGCCTGGCGCGCCTGCTGCACGCGGCCCAGCGCGGCCTGCAGCTCGGGCTCCGAGCCCCAGCGGCCGTAGGCCGTGCCCCGGTCCAGCAGCCGCTGCCGCGCTAGCCGCTCGATCAGCTCGGCGCACACGTGGCGGCCGCAGAAGCGCGCCCACTGCTCCGCGCGCAGCCCGCGCCCCGTGTCGCGCAGCGTGGGCGACGCGCCTGCAAAGCGAACAACACCGTGACCTAGCTCAACGTCGACACGGGGAAAAAAATGTGTGCAAACAGTAGTTGGAAAGTCTAAGAAGATTTTTAACGAATTGTTTTAAAAAATAATGACAAA